TGGATAGAATATTGCTGGGAACAGTTACACTCTTCAAATTCAAACATGAATCTAAACATAAACAACTGAGCTTGCTGAGTAATATGGAAGAGTAAACTTTAATCAACTTTGGACAATCACTGAGAATTATTTCTTCAATATTTGGTGACAGATAAAGGTCTGGTATCCCGGTGAGTTTCTGAGAACCACTCAGATTGAGCCTTTTCAATTTCGGTAAATTCTGCTACAAAGGTAAATGAATCAAGTAACAAAGAAAAACTAATATAAAGTTTTAAGCTAATTTTAGCTATTTTTCTTCAGTAAACTTTTAGTTACATTATCTATTGCGTTTATAAATATCACTTTTGAAAAAACACAGGACTAAGAAAATTATGTTGGCTATATATTTGGTAGTTATTATAAAAATTCAGTAAATTTAGCATGTTTTGTTCCCTACCTAAAATTACATCCTAATAATTTCAACCTAGACTTATTATATATATTGATAAAACTGATGACAGTAATTTATAACATATTTCAACTATTTATCTTTATTATCTCATCTCATCTCTCTTCTTTTCTAATAAAAATATATTGCATAAATTTTAAATGAGAGTTACATCACTCTTAATAGAGTTGTAATGTGAATGAGAATGATATTCCTTTATTTATACTGAAGCTATATTACAATAGAAAAAAGTTAGATCAATTAAGTTTAAGTATGTTATGCATTTAAATATTTAAACGAGTTTTTATTAAAAAAATATATAATCTAGTTGTACTTAAATTTTTGTTTATTTTTCTTTTAATTAACGGCGTGATATGAATGTTTTTTTGGCTTACTTCTCAAAATATTATTAATAATTTTTTTACTAATTATTTACATGGGTTTATCAATTTATTTTTATTTTATTTTAAAATATTATATCAAAGATAAAATATGAATACAAAGTACTCTAAATGATGAAATCCATTTAATATTTTTTAATGATATAATTTATACCTTTTACAAATGATGAAAATTATAAAAAATGAACCAAATTATAACAAATTACATTTTATTTATTATAACTACTCTTACCATTAAAATTATTATATACTATTTTAAAATTATACTTACTATCTTAGAAAAGTTAAATAATTACTATTGATTCTACTCATTCTTAGTTTTTGTTGGTGAAATCTTGATTATGAGATAATATCACTTAAACTTCAAGGATAGTTGGTATGCAAAAGATATCAAGACATCTTTAATCCAAAATTTTATAGTAACATATCTGTGAGTTTTTCTTCTCATATTGTTATCTTACTAATTTTTTTTATATATAATAAGACTTTCAACTTACTTTAAATTTTTAACTAATGATACAGTGTATTTTTTATCAACACCTAATTTTGGATGAATAAAGTTTTTTCTTAAATAAAAAATTTTAAAAAAATGTTATTTATTTTATTATTTGTACCCCTAGTTTAACTATTTCAAAACCCTATTCTTTCATTTTTCATTTTTACGGATCACTCTAATAGATTAACTAATCCAACACATTTTTTCACTCTAATAGATTAACTAATCCAACACATTTTTTCATCCTTATCACTTTTTTTTCTTTTCTCACCTCTTACCCTCCAGACAGATCATCCACCACATCGTCTTTTTCTTTTATCTAATTTCTCTATTCACTTTTTATATTAATTTTTTAATTTATTTTTCACTTAACTTTTTCTATTCACTTTTTTAAATTATATTTTATTTTTATAAAGAAAGAATGATTTTATTTAAAATAAGGGCGTTTCCAAATAATACAAAAAGAAAAAAAAATAACATTTCGATATCTTTTATACATTAGAATAGATTACCCACACACAAATATCTCTTATAAAGTAAAAGACAATCACTCTGTCCATATACCTCACACATAATATGGATAGACAATACAATCATGGACCATAAAATGAAATGCATCAAATAAATGCATGTTCTACATATTTGATTTATAATTAATTATCTTTAGCATTCTAAATATGATTGTAATGATATATGCATATTGAGTGGGTCTAATAAAAGAAGTATAAAAACAAAATAATGTGAAGTAAAGGAATTGCTAATGAAAACATGTAGATATATAGTATAGAAAAATACTTAAGTTTAGAACATAAAGGAATATAGATAACTTTAAAAACCTGATCTTCTTCCCAAAGTTGTTCAAGATGGCAGTATGGCATTACGAGTCTCACTAGATTTTTTGGGCAAAAGTCTGGTGGTAAAGATCTTTGAGGGAAACTTTTCCAAGAAAGAATCTTTAAAGAGTCTGGTAGACTTACAAGAGATGATGCAAGAGACACTTTGGATTCCCGTAGAATTCCAAAACGAAAATAATCATCGAGTATAAGCATCCTAAGATTATCCATCTTTTGGAAAGTTTGTCCATGTACTATAACTTCTTTTATTTCTGCCAAATCTAGTAAGATACACTGAATTGCATCTGACCCCTAAAAGTAAATCAATGTAATTAGAAAATAAATAAACATGAAATATTCTATAATGTTTAGTAACTACTAAGTTGTTTGCAATTTAAGAAAAGTAAATCGATGTAACTCTTTTAATTGAGTGACAATGGAACATACCTTGTTCTTTTTTAAAACCTCAAGAATCTCGTCAGCCTTAAACAATCGACTGCATTTTTCAGGATATTGAGGGCACTGACGAACAATTTCTTGACCCATTTCTTGTATTAGATCATGCATTTCAATTCTACCATTAACGATAGATATTAGACATCTATCTTTGAGAACATCCATTCCAATTTTAGAAGAAAAACCACAGTCGTCTAATCTTTCTATTACCAGGCTCTCTTCGTATCCCCTATTAAAGCAAGCGATGTCAAGAAATATATTCTTTTCCTCGTCATCAAGCCCATCATAACTTAATTTTAATACATTAAAAATTTTAAGATGTTGGCTTTTTTTCAACTTTGCAACTGACTTTCCCATGCTTCTCTTGTTCTTCCGTAAAGTAATGAGCCCAAAAATTTGAGAGAACTAATGGAAATTCCTTTTGCATATCTCCACACCTCTTCTGCCAAGTCCATGTTACGTTGTTTCTGTGAAAGAGTTTGTTTAAAAGCATGTAAACTAAAAAGTTTCAGAGAAATCAGGGAAAATTCAACTCCTTAACTTCGTTAGATGTCATCAGCTCCAGCATTCTTTAACACTTGTTTGTCTCTACTGGTTATAATGATTCTACTGCCTTGTCCAAAACTATCACACCTTCCTAGCAATTGTTTAAGTTGAACCGAATCAGTAACATCATCAAGAATGATGAGAATCCTCATTCCTTTGAGGGATGGTACTTCATTTAGAAGCTCGGGCATATATTTTTTTCTGACAGCGTCTATTCCATCTCTTTTTATTTTTTCTTGAGTGTCTAAAACAAGGCTTCTGGAATCAAATTGCATTGTAAATGTGTGATATATTTGTTCAGAAATTGTAGTTTTTCCTATTCCTCCCATGCCCCAAATTCCTATGATCCGAATATCTGATGACTCAAAATGCATCAATAACTGAATGCTTTCAATATGTTTTTCAATGCCGATAGTTCCTGGATCATAACTAATGGAATAAAGATTCAATTTTCTCATAATATCTTCCACAATTCCTTCAACAAGTGTGTTTTCTGACCTGACAGATAATTTGAAAAATAAAGTTTTAGTAAAGACAAAGCTAAACTAAACTAAAGAAAAATTCAGAAGAGTGAACATCATTGAAGAGATGTTCAAAGTAGACATATTTTCATATATTAGCTTGGTTGGTTTAAAAATTGCAAATCAAGATCGCAAAAGTTCTACAGTAACTGTTTATGACTTTTGTTACTGCAAAAGAGACTTGTACAAAGTTAAACTATAACAAAGTGATATGATCAAATGCATGACCGATTAAGAGAAACGAAAAAAAAGAAACACTTGAACTATGACGAGATCAACAGATTTTAGTAAATGAAAAGAGATTCTGAATATCTGAAAAGTGGACGTAAGAAATATAATGACCTGATAACGTTTGAATCCCAACCGGAGAGTCCAGCAGCTTCGGTTAGAGCATCCTTCCATCCTTGCACTTTCTCCATGTCGTCCTTAAACAGCTGTTCATGCTCTTCGAATGCTTCTTTGTATCTTTCTTCCTGCTTCCTGACAGTTGATGGATCCACTTTGTAGAAAACCGGTATCACGTCCCTTCCATATCTCTTCTTGCAGTTCAGTATCATAGTCAGTTCCTTCAAGCACCACGTGGAAGATGCATAGTTTTCGGAGAAAACCAGGACATAGATCTTTGATTCTTCTATCGCAGTTTGGAGTGCAGGCGAAATTTCTTCGCCCTTTTGTGCTCTCTCATCAATATATGCTTGGATGCGTTTCCTTTGCAGTGCTGCATAAAGGTGACTGATGAAGTTTTTACGCGTGTCTTCTCCTCTGAAGCTGAGAAACACATGATATCTGGTGGTAGAAGTAGAGACTGGAAATGATGAAGAACTTCCTAACATTGGAATGAATTAGAAAGATGATGAAGATCTATGAAGAACTCTGTTTTCTCTGCAACTATCCTCTCTGAAAGTATCGGTCGCGTGTTGTTTGTTCTGGTCAGCCACGTCAATACGGCAATAACTTAAGCTATTAAGTCAATTAAGGCTCAACAATTTACAGAATATTTATGGATTCTAAATTTAGATAATTTTAGGGACATATGTCTACTAAAAATTATTATAAAAAAATTGCGTAATATGATAATTATTAAGATAAAAATACTATTAAAATGACATATTATTATAATTATTAAAATAAAAAATATTACTAAAAATTATATAAAAGTTGTCGAAAAAATTAATATAAAAAACAGTCCTAAAGTAAATATTTTTATTAAATTTATACTATTATAATGGTAAAAACATTTAACATAATAGTTTTTTTTTGTAAATAGTTTTTCATCAAAAATAATAATAAAATAGATTGTAGTAAAATCGATAACCAAATATGCATATTTAAAAAATAGTTAAAAATATTCTTTGCTAATAATTGTAAATCATCGTCGTTATTATTATTATTATAATAATAATAATACTACTAATAATAATTATAATAATAATAATTATATTATTATAATAATAATAATTATTATTATTATTTACTTTCACAAATATTCAACATCAAACATCTCAAAAATACATCCACACATTAATCACACCCAGCATGTTTATATAATTAACTTAAAATATAGTGTAACCCACATACCAAACTAAACATTCTGACGACATTGGAGACCGGACGATTTCTCACTACCCAAAGAAGAGGACCGAACGATACATAATAAGTATGACTGAAAAAGGTGATCGAACACTTATACGAACCGACCACTAAAATATACCGAGTACAACATAACTGAGTCCTAGTAGAAAGTCAATTACTAACACAATACTAACTCTTAAAACAAAGCACCACCTCAGACCGGACACTCTGGACTTAAGTAGAACACTCAAATATAACTAATCATTAAATTATCCGAACACTAGAATGATATCTAATACTAGAACTAGACCGATTACTAGAGTAATACCGAGCACTATGACTAGATTGAAAACTATATATAAACCAAATTCTAAATAATATTGAATACCAGTGTAATAAGGAACACAAATATAAGACCGAATGCTAGTGTACTACGGAATACTAGTGTAAGACCGAACACTAGTGTACTACAGAATACTAGTGTAAGACCGAACACTAGTGTACTACAGAACACTAGTGTAAAACCGAACGATCATTAACTGAAGCTCTAAAGAAATATAGCTCAGTTACAGCCGAACACAAGAAAAGACCGAGCGGTCAAAACAGAACCCTTAATAAAACTACGTAATTCTGTAGAATGACTGCAAACTATGATAAAACTTAAGTTTACCTAAAATCTACTCATTCTTCCTAATTTCTGATACTCCAATCTTGTATCCTATAACTTACCCAGATTCTTCATACCAATCATACTCATACCAAATCCAGATTACCCAGATTCACCAACCCAATTCCTCTCAATCCACTCGACCACTTGCTCATAATATGCAGAAACATATTCATCACAATCATAACACTTAATTATTCAAACCAATATCACAAAATACATAATCATTCAATTATACATACATGCAAAATCAGCAAACACTATTTGATAACGTCCTCCTCGAGCTAGGTTGGGCCAAAGCGCAGAGATGAAGCTGTGGAGGTGGAATTTGTGCGGAAGTTATGGATATGGTGGTGGACTCACAATATTGGTGAGGTTTTGATGAGTATTTGTGGTAAGATGGAGGTGTTTGATGGATCTTCGGAGAGGTTGGGCCAACTCTAGAGAAGGGTGGTTAACGGGACCTCCATGGGATGCTCTAGCCTTGACTTGAGACAAGATATGTTTGCACACATTTTGGCATAATAACATTCAAATTCATCAAGTGATTTTACAAGGAATGAGACCCTTCTATTTACAGAGAAAGGTGTCTCCAAAGTAGACAATAAACCCTAAAACTACCCACTCTTAAAGAGACATGTGGGAATCCACTCTTACAAAGTTTCTCCACTCTTAGAGTGTCATGTGGCAATCCACTTTTGTAAAGTCTTCTCCACTCTTGAAGTAGCATGTGGCAATCCACTTTTGCAAAGTTCTCCACTCTTAAAGTAGCATGTGGCAATCCACTTTTGCAAAGTTCCTCCACTCTTAAAGTGTCATGTGACAATCCACTTTTGCAAAGTTTCTCCACTCTTAGAGTGACATATGGTAATCCACTTTAGTAAGAGTTTCTCCACTTAGAAAATGACACATGACCACTTTCTTCTTAAGAAAAACTCTTCACTTAAGAGCTTGCCATGTGGCCATCATGTCCCATGGTGGGACACCCACATCGTTAAACCACCATGAAGCCCTTACTTACAAACCATACAATACTTAGCCCTTAATACAAGGCCCTAAAATTAAATACTATACTATTTGACCTTAATACAAGGTCTAAAAATACACACAATTTACTAAGAACATGTTGATGGCTCATGATGATTAGAGCTCGGAACCCACCTTCATAGGATGAATCCAAACATCTTCTAAGTATATTAAACCATGAACTAGGGCATATGTCATTACTATTTTCATACATCATTCACAAATTAGTTAAATTAACTAGCTTCCCTTACCTTTTTGACGGAACAGAACAACGTTTAACTTTTCCAAAAATTACTTTCCCACCAGAAAATCCTATAAACACCCATACTTCACCGATTTGTGAGGAAAGACCACCCAACAGACCATAAATGAAGTTAGAAAGAAGAAAATAGGATTGAAGTATACATGCAACCAATAGAATTGTCTTGCATGTGACAGAATTTTCCAGAATTCACAAAAACTTAAGAAACGAAACTTATCCATTTAAAACACAAACTTGATCGATGAAAGAAGAAGTCCTTTACACCAAGATCATTTAGACACAATCTGATTGTAGATCAGATGAAGCGAGATGAAGAAAATTTAGAGAGAAATTGTAGAGAGAAGAAGGAGAAAAGAAAACTTAAAAATTTTGGGAAAGAAGAAATGCATGCAGAAAGTGACACGAAATTTCAAAACTTTTGTTTATATACTACCATCAAAATGGATTGGCCCAATTGGATAAATACATAGGTACTCCTAGTCCTTACACAATCTATGTCATTTTGTTCAAATTAGCATCTTTAAGTTGTTATTAACCACTATACCAACATAACTAAATTCATACTAAATTTATGATAATGGTATGGTGTAAGATAAAATAAGACTCTTTTATTAAATTTGTAATTTTTTAAAATTATTAAGTACATTATACTCTCCTTGTAAAACACAAGTAAAATTAAAAAAAAAATCTCAAGCAGATAAGGGTGTTATTTATTAATAATTTATTTACCATTTTTATATAATTTATTTTCTTATAAAGAAATTTAATTGAGATTCTACTTTTAATTCACTGTTTTTTTTGTAAAGAATAATGGATTCATATAGCAGTATTATTGTAGCGTGCCAAAACAATCTTTTATTCTATAAATATATAATTATTATATATAGATATATATATATATAGAGAGATATATATATATATATTAATATAATAACTGTCGTGAAAACCGGTTTTATGCTTTCAGGAATCAGAAAGTTACGAAGCCTCTTCCAAACGAATGAAATCCCACGAATAAAGAAGGAGAGATAAAAGAAAGAGAACATTTTAACTTTAAAATCCATAAGATAATAATTTTTAATAACAAAATATATATAATTTCTGGTGTAGTTTTCATGACAAGGGAGCGAGTAACTTCTCTAGCAGCATCTTGCTTCGCAGGACTCACAAGGACCACTAATTAGAAATGTAGAAGATGCTCCAATGCTTTGAAATGGATACTTCTCAGAACAAAAGTACCTTTGCATTAACTTTAGTAAAGTGGACGAAGTGGGAAATGAAGTGTTGCCTACAAATTAACTTAAAGAGTTTCCACCTATAAATTAAAGTAAAAGGCAATGCAACTCATCCAATTGGAAGTAAAACTAAAATATATTTTAAAGGAAAAGCACAATATATTTTTGAAAAGGAAGGGACTAAGCAAAACTTGATCTGAACACATATAAATATAAAGGCCAACACGATGCTATGTAATAGGCAAAAAAAGGAAGATTGACATTAAGGTGAATGAAGGACAGGAGATAAAAATTTCAGACGTAAATAAATTGTATAAAAACAATATATAATAATAAATTTAATCTAACCAAACATTTCAACTTCTTATACTTAAACATTAATCTAACCAAACCTAGTTTGTAGTTGAGAAATTGACTTTTTATTCGTATTGATATTTATGAAAATGAATTTTATAATTCAGAGTCAGCTGTTTAATTATATACTTTTCTACTATTCTAACAATCTAAAACCAATTACTAATGTGAATTATTTGACTGTTTAACATCTTGTAGTATTTGAAATTATCAAAGAGATAAAAAAAAAAATAGCAAATTTGGTTGTTAATTAATTATTGTGACTGAGATTATTTTGTTAATTTGGTGTTGTTAAAAAAAAAACTGAGATCATTTTGTTTTTCATATTTGAATTATGAATGTTTTAAAAAAATTATTTTAATTGTTTTAACTATTTGTTAGCTGAATTGTTTTAACATGTTTTCGTGGGCTATGATATCGTGAGGTTTTATTACGTTAATTATTATTTCGATTTATTAGCTATATAAACATTTAAATATGGAAAGGAATATTTTGACAACCAGTTTTTCACATTATTGTAGCAGTTTAACAAATAATAATAAAACATTAAAATATATTATTTAATTAAATTATTAAATAAAAAAATTAGTAAAATTTATTGTAATAATAAACAAGTTTTGACGTAGGTAGTTTTGGCAATTACTTTAATAGCTGAAAATAATATCTGTAACAATTTTTAACAACCACAAATTACATCTTAAATAATAAAAAATTAGCATT